CCCCGGCCCCCTCCCCGGCCCCCCCGGGCCCCACAGCCGCAGGAGGGGCCACTCTCCCCCGCCTGCGTGGCCGTCCCAAGCGCAGGGTGCCCCACTCTCTGCTGGCTGTGGCCAGGCTGTGAGCTGGGGCTCGTCCCTGCTGGGGATGCAGGGGCTGGGTGTGGAGAGAGCCACGGGATCTGCCGGGAATGGGACTGTACTGTCAGTAGGAACCAGCCCTGGGAGGTTCCAGCATGGGACATGTGCCAGCTCACAGCACACAGCGCTCCTGCCAGGGCTGGGTATACGGGAGGGTCCAGTCTCATCAGGCTGCACTGACTACCCTTGCCCAGGGCTACAGGGCCCCGCAGAGCCTGACGCGCCCCTCTCCCCCCGCTTCCAGGTCTTCGGCCACGGCAAAGCCAATGGGGAGCCGACATGGGCCCTGCTGCTCACAGCCTGCATCTGCGAGATCGGGATCCTGATCGCCTCCCTGGACGAGGTGGCTCCCATCCTCTCCATGTAGGCAGCGTGCTGTCGACCCGCACCTTCACAAGCAGCGGGTGGCGTGTGTGGGTCTCTGCTCCTTGTTGGGGGGGAATGCACCTGCTGCCCTGGACCCTGCCTGGGAAGAAGGGCCCCTGCAGGCACTTAGGGGTCCCATCTTGGTCAGCATTGAGGATTAGTTTCTCCATGGCACTGCTTCTCTGTCCATCAGTGGGGCCTGCTCCAGCATTGGCCACCCCGGGGCCAGGCGATGTGGAGACTTCAGTCCCACACAGTGCACCCACTCAGCCCCCTACTCTCTCCTGCAGGTTCTTCCTCATGTGCTACATGTTTGTCAACCTGGCATGTGCGGTGCAAACACTGCTGAGGACGCCCAACTGGCGGCCCCGCTTCCGCTACTACCACTGGTGAGCCAGGCAGGATGGGGCAGGACACCCCAGGACACCCCAGTGTGGGGAACCCAGGGCATGCTGACAGCTCTGTGCTCTCTGCAGGACCCTGTCCTTCCTGGGCATGAGCCTCTGCCTGGCACTGATGTTCATCTGCTCCTGGTACTACGCACTGGTGGCCATGCTGATCGCTGGCCTCATCTACAAATACATCGAGTACCGCGGGTAAGGGAGGCCGTGGTGCCACAGGTCCTGGCCAGCGCCCCGTGGCCACATGGCCTCTCAGCGTGGCTGCTCAGCTCCCCAGGCTCCTTGTCCCAGGATGCTCCAGGGTGCCAGCGTGGTGCTCTGTGGCCGGAGCTATGGGCATCCCTTATGTGCTGCTGGTTCCTGCAGGGCGGAGAAGGAGTGGGGTGATGGGATCCGGGGCTTGTCCCTGAGTGCAGCCCGCTACGCCCTGCTGCGGTTGGAGGAAGGGCCCCCGCACACCAAAAACTGGAGGTAAGGCTGGGCAGGGAGATGGGGATGTGAGGGTTCTGGGGAAGGGACAAGCTGGCTGCGGGCACTGACTGCAGGACCCTCCTTCCAGGCCGCAGCTGCTGGTCCTGGTCCGCGGGGACCAGGAGCAGAATGTGGTGCACCCGCAGCTCCTGTCCTTCACGTCACAGCTCAAGGCTGGGAAGGGCCTCACTATCGTGGCCTCTGTGTTGGAAGGGACCTTCCTGGACAACCATCCTCAGGCGCAGAGGGCAGAGGAGGTGAGAGCTGCCTGCATTGGGACAGGCTGTGCCAGCAGTAGGTGCTCCTGGTCCCTAGGTGCCCAGGTTTGTTTCTGCCCCCTGGCCAAGGCTGGTGGCCCTGGGATGGTCCAGAGAACTTTGGAGTGGCATCAGGCAGAGCCTGAGGATCCATGCTTCACCGGTGCTCACAGCAGGGACCTCTGGACCCCTCTTCCCCTCCAAGACACCAGAGATGCTGGCACCAGGCAAGCACTGGTCCCAGTCTTGGCCAGCTGCTGCAGGACTTGGCACAGCATGGCACGTCACAGCACAGCACAGTGCCCAGCCAGGGGCTGCTGGGCTGAGTGGGCTCCACAGCCTCAGCACTCACCACAGCCTCTGTGGCCCTGGTGACAGGCAAGGTGGGAGTTGAGCCTTTCCCCGCCAGAGTGAGAGCACTCCCCACCCCCTGCACCCGCGGGGCGGCACATTAATGAGATTAAGCCCTCGGAAGCAAACAGTTTCTCTCCCATGCAGACATGTTATAATTTCTCTGAGTAAATAACTCTAATTGCTGCTCTGCTGCCTGTCAGAGCCCTGGCACAAGGACACCCTCCGCTCTGCACGGTGCAGAGCTGTGTGCCAGCTCTGTGCACCGTTTGGTATCAGCCCCTTGGCCTGGAGCCACCAGCCTGCCATGGGGCACAGAGACCCAGGCACCCTGTGAGGACCTGCACCCCACACCTCACAGCCCTGTACCTGCACGCCCCCATTCTGTACCCTGTATCCCACGCCCTACACCCTGTAGCTCATCCGGCCTGGGTTGGGCCACTGCTGGGCCTGGCAGCTGCTGTGCCTGTGATCCACACCCGTCCCCAAGGCCCTGGAATCTCTGACTTCCTTCTCCCTTGCAGTCCATCCGGCGCCTGATGGAAGCGGAGAAGGTGAAGGGCTTTTGTCAGGTGGTGATCTCCTCTAACCTGCGGGACGGCATGTCCCACCTCATCCAGTCCAGCGGGCTGGGGGGGCTGCAGCACAACACAGTGCTGGTGGGCTGGCCCCGCAGCTGGCGCCAGAAGGAGGACCACCAGACCTGGAGGAACTTCATTGGTAGGCACCGTGGAGGGTGGGCACTGCCGGACTTGGGGGGCTGCAAGCTGCCCTGGCTGACGTGGCCCTTCCCCTCCCAGAGTTGGTGCGAGAGACCACAGCTGGGCACCTGGCCTTGCTGGTGGCCAAGAATGTTGCCATGTTTCCGGGCAACCAGGAGCGGTTCTCAGAGGGCCACATTGATGTCTGGTGGATTGTCCATGATGGGGGGATGCTGATGCTGCTGCCCTTCCTCCTGCGGCAGCACAAGGTAGGCTGGGCCCTGCAGTGCGGGGCTGGGGCTTGGGCTGCGGCCGTCCCTGTCGAGCCGTGCCCAAGCCTCCCCCATCCCTTGCAGGTGTGGCGTAAGTGCAAGATGCGCATCTTCACGGTGGCACAGATGGATGACAACAGCATCCAGATGAAGAAGGACCTGACCACATTCCTGTACCACCTGCGCATCACCGCAGAGGTGGAGGTGGTGGAGATGGTGAGTACTGGGACGGGACATGTGCTGCAGGCAGAGATGCTGTGCATAGGAAGGCCAGACAGAGCCTGACATGGAGCACACAGCACCATGGGGGGACATGCTGAGCCATGCTGGAAGCAGTTGGTACAGCTTACCTTGCCCCAAATTTCTCCTGTTCTCCCCACAGCATGAGAGTGACATCTCTGCCTACACCTATGAGAAGACGCTGGTGATGGAGCAGCGTTCCCAGATCCTCAAACAAATGCACCTTACCAAGAATGAGCGGGAGCGGGAGGTGAGGCTGCAGGACAGGCTGGGTGGGCTCTGACCCCTGTGGTGGCTCTGATGTGAACCGAGCTGCCCTGCAGCTCTACACTCTCATCCTGATGAAGAACTGGGCTTCAGGCTAGGCTCCGCCCAGCCAAGCCCTCTTGGTCCCTTGGCTGACCCCTCCCGCACAGATTCAGAGCATCACGGATGAGTCCCGTGGCTCCATCCGGCGCAAAAACCCGGCGAACACGCGCCTGCGCCTGAACGTCCCCGAGGAGCAGGCTGCCGACGGCGAGGAGAAGCCAGAGGAGGAGGTGAGGCATGGTACCAAGACATGGTCAGGCAGGTAGCTGGCCCCAGGCCCTTCCCACCATTCCCCTCTTCCCTCTGCAGGTCCAGCTAATCCATGACAAGAATGCCACCACCTTCTCCAGCAGCTCTCAGTCCCCTGGTGATGAGGTAGAGGCAGCCCCTGAGAAGGTGCATCTTACCTGGACCAAGGAGAAGTCCGTTGCTGAGAAGAACAAGAGCAAGAGCCCTGTCAGCCCCGAGGGCATCAAGGACTTCTTCAGCATGAAGCCGTATGGCCCCCCATGCTGCTACCTTGTACCACCCATGCCCTGTGATCCTGGCTGTCCCTGCCTGCCCCAGCCAGGCGGGTGCAGGCAGGGCCTCAGCAGCACCAGCTCGATCCTTGCCCCAAGGAGTGGTCAGGCAGCCTGCTCCTCGGGGACGTTCAGGCGCAGGCGCGTGTTCGCCGGGTTT